TATATAATACACACACACACACACACACACACACACACACACACACACACGTACTCCACTGCTCGGTACAAATGATAAGGTGGCTATGCAGCCACCGGACAGCCTTTACATGAACAGCCATCGCTGGGTGTTTAAAACGGTAATAAGAACATGGCTGCAGCTGTGTTCTTGGTATAACAGCTTCAGGGGGAGGACATGTATATATGTGAACCCCCCTGAAGTGGTTAATACGCACACATTAAAGCACCACTAATATGTAAATGGCACCTATATGTTATCTAATCTCATCTGATCAGGGCTGACTTTCTGGGATATAGTTTGTGTAATTAAATAGACTTGATCTGTGAGAGGATATAAATGGTCTGGTGAGGTTTATATTGGTATATACAAGGATGCAACATTTCCTTTAATGTTGACAATCTAAACGTTTTGCAGTAGAGATTTAGTTACAGAAACTGGAAAATCAATTTTTAAGGTTATTAAGCCTCACTTTAGTTCGCTATTTTACTAGCATGTAACAGGCAGGTTGCCATTTGCAAGTAGAGGCTAAGTTGTTTGCCCTCTTTTCATATTTTAACTCTGAGATTGAAATCACAATTGAGTTAGTGCCAACAGTCAAGTTATGTTACTTGCCAATTTCCATTTAATTCTCCAAATTAGGCATTTTTTCATTCTGGCATCAGTATACCATTTTTAGCTCGGAGGAGCTACAGCATTTAACTTTCACTATTGTTGATACACATTTCTAAGGGGAAAGGTGCCATGATATAGACAAAATACTGTCTGCAATGATAGATGGATCTTGAATTTATTTTCATCATTTCAAGAAATATCCAAAAGGAATAGAAGTCTGGGCATATGTTTAGGATGATTTAAAGCCCATCTGCAAGCATTAAAAAAAAAAATTCTCTCCCGTCTGTTCTCCCAAACAAAACAAAAAAAAGCCCTTTTTTTCTTACCTGACTCCACCATCACTGATTCACCATCACTGGTCACTGATTTCCACCGGCGGAAGAGGCGCCAGTGAT